AGGCAGATCACCTGGGGTCAGGAGTTCGAGATCAGCCTGGGCAACATGGCAAAATCCCGTCTCTGCTAAACATACAAAACTTAGCCAGGCATGGTAGCGCACACCTGTAGTGCCATCTACTTGGGAGGCTGAGGCAGGAGAATCACTTGAATCTGGAAGGCGGAGGTTGCAGTGAACCAAGATCACACCAGAGCACTCTAGCCTGGGTGACAGAGCAAGACTCTGTCTTAAAACAAAAACAAAAACAAAAACAAAAACCCTACAGCTACATGTAACAATACAAATAAATCTTACAAACTTACTGTTGAGTGAAAAAAAGCATCTGGACTAAAGCAGGATATTAGCATAAACAACATTGTCAGTAGGCTTTATTCTCCTTTCTTCCCCCTACCCAAGCTATCCTTCCACCAGGGTGACTATCCTTGATTTGCCTGGGACTGAGGAGTTTCCATGAATGGAAACTTTCAGTTCTTGTTTGTTTTTGTTTCCTGAGGCAGAGTCTCGCTCTGTTTCCCAGGCTGGAGTGCAGTGGCATGATGTGGGCTTACTGCACCCTCTACCTCCCAGGTTCAAGCAATCCTCCTGACTCAGCCTCCCAAGTAGCTGGGATTATAGGCACCAGCCACCATGCCCAGCTAAATTTTTCTATTTTCAGTAGAGACAGGTTTTTGCCATGTTGGCCAGCTTAGAATTTTCTGGTTTTTTTTTTGTTTGTTTTTTGTTTTTTTAGATGGAGTTTTGCTCTTGTTACCCAGGCTGGAGTGCAATGGTGTGATCTCGGCTCACCGCAACCTCCGCCTCCTGGGTTCAGGCAATTCTCCTGCCTCAGCCTCCTGAGTAGCTGGGATTACAGGCATGTGCCACCATGCCCAGCTAATTCTTTGTATTTTTAGTAGAGACGGGGTTTCACCATGTTGACCAGGTTGGTCTCCATCTCTTGACGTCGTGATCCACCTGCCTCGGCCTCCCAAAGTGCTGGGATTACAGGCTTGAGCCACCGCGCCCGGCGAATTTTCTGTTTTAAAAGCAGAAATAGTCCTGGAAAACTGGGAAGAGGTGGTCACCCAATCTCATCTGCCTATTCCCCCCCGCCTCCACTTCTTGCCCTTGGCTATCACTAACTAGCACTAACACAGTGGCACTAACACACCAATCTTAATTGTGCAGATAAAATGAAGAATACGAAATCAATAACACAAAGAAAAAAACAAGAAACAAAAATGAAGTTGATCATAAATGCCAGGCTGTATAAATCAACCATGAAATCCTTGAAGCTACTGAGGAAACCCACAAAGGAAACTAAGTCTTACATGTTAGTCTGTCGAAATCTCCATGTTTCTCTCACGGGTTTTCATCTGATCTACTAAAAAGGACAAATTAGCATAAGGAACTATTTCTTAGAATGTAACAATCAGTGTTGGGGTCTGATTTCTTTCTTAATTACATGGGAGTTTGCAAACTGCCTCATCCTTTTGAACCAGCAGCATCAGTATCACCTGGGAATGTGTTAAAAATGAAAATTCTCAGGCCCCATTCCAGTCCAAGTGACCAGATACTGAGTGTGTACAAGGCCTGATACATGTGGCAAAAGTTTGAGAACCACTGGATTAGTGTACCCACATTCTCTCTTCCTTATTTGTGATGGGCATTTGGTGGATTAGTAAGACACTCCAAGAATTCAGGTACTGTGTTTCATATTACCACCACTTTCATATTGGTGGTAATATGTTCTTTCATATTATCACCACTCTCTGTCAGGTCAGGCCATTATTTGGATACCACCATCAACAGTAAATATTTCACATCATACCAGATTTACGACACCTTTGCATCGGCACATGAAACCCAAACAATGGAATACTTTCTGCTCCTCATTTACTTTCCTATGTCTGCTTATTAATCTCACGAATCATGAACTGCTACAGAATTAACTGTCGCTGGCCGGGCAAGGTGGCTCATGCCTGTAATTCCAGCATTTTGGGATGCCGAGGTGGGAGGAGTTCAAGACCACCCTGGCCAACATGGTGAAACCCCATCTCCACTAAAAATACAAAAATTAGCCAGGCATGGTGGTGTATACTTGTAATCACAGCTACTCAGGAGACTGAGGCATAAGAATCGCTTGAACCTGGGAGGTGGAGGTTGCAGTGAGCCATGGCCATGCCACTACACGTCAGGCTGGGAGACAAAGCGAGACTGCCTTAAAAAAAAAAAGAATTAACCTTCACTGAATTGACCTCAGTATTTGATTGCCTATAATTCTGCCAAAAAAATTATTTTAGCATCATGTTGAAGATATTTTATTACTTTAAAAGCTGGGAAACATAACAAATACATTTTATAAAGAAGGTGAGCACCAGATCAATTATCATCCTTTGTTGTAAGATGAAATTGTGATTAATCGAACCCAATTTTCTTAATGTAATTTAAAAAATACACACACTTATTTTCTAAGGATGCCCTACAAAGACTGTCCTGTGCTCAGAACCTGCCTGGGGCTGTTGGCCTTTTAATGAAAAGAACTCATTCCAGACATTTCATAATCTCAAGTCATTACTTGCTTGCTGTTGGGTTGATAAAACACAGGATGATTCCACTCATATGATTTTAAAAAGGTAAAACTAAACAATATTTTATAGGGATACATATGTGTAGGGTAAAACTGTACAGGAAAAAAAAGGAAATAATCACAAAGGTTAAACAAAATGGTAACCTCTAGGGAAGAGAGGAGGCTAAATCTGGCAGGAATGGGACTCCATTTCTAAGGAACTGACTATATACTATTTCTTGACTTGAGCATGAGTTACAAGAGTTTTTAACTTTATAGTTTACAAATTTTGTTTTTTTTTTTTTGTATGTATGTTATAAAAATAAATAAATGGAATTACACAACCACTCCAAAATTTAGCAGGGAGAAAAGGAGGAGTTCACAGACTACCTTAAGTCCATAAACCCCAGGTTTATGGTTATCAGGCTATGTGAGACCAAAGAAAAGGAAAATCTTTAGACTGTAAAACGGCAAGGGAAGGATGGAGCATTGAGATCAGAAAAAGTGAAAAACTAAAAAGGTAATGCGAAAAAAACATGAAGCTTCTGTGTCAGTTCAAACCCTCTCACTTGGAAGAAAGCAACACCTAGCACAGACATAACTAACAAATGCCCAAGCTTGGTAAGGAATGTGTTGGTGTCTGAAAAGCATGTTAAACAACGTTTAACAAGGGGGAAGTGGAGCTCAGATTGTAAAGAAATGTAACTATTAAATAATTTATTCCAAAAGAAATAAATCCAAAAATTACAAATTTAACCCTCTTACCCATTCCATAACATCATTGTCCTCACATCCTTTAATGAAAAAAGGGCATATAAATGGTTAGAAAACTACAAACACCAATTACTGAATGCAAAAAGTACACAATGCCATGTCTCAGCAAAATATTATCAAAGAACCTAGAAAAGTCTTTGCCAGCCTTGGGAAATTAGGGAACTGGTGAAAACTAATTACAAAATGCCATTTCCACCAGCCTTGGAATAAATGCAAATATTGCAACTAAATAATAAACACACATCTGGATCACAACTAGTCTGAACGCCAAAATAGTTCTTCACTGCACAGTCTCTTGTGCGAGTGACGCTTTCTGCTGAAGTAACAGGAACCCAAGCTGGCCTACCCTATTTAAAACTACAGGTCAATGGCGGCGTATCTTTCTAAAGTTTTTTCATTGTAGTCTTGCGAGAAATCTTCACTTATACCCAGCAACTATTCATTATTTCACTAGGTCTGGGTTCACACTGAACAAAACTACCAATTATGCTCAAAACTGGTGTTCATACAGACAGCCAAATGCCTTACTTTGATGAGAAGCTGTAGTAATGAGCATGGAGAATTATTTTTATGGTTCCAAGATTCTACTACGGGCATCAAATGGACCATTTCTTCAAGATGTTCTTCTTAAGTTTTCCTTTCATCCTACTTTCTATTTGTTCCGCACAGATACACTATCTTCCCTATTTTTCCAACTTTCTCTTAGTGGTTAAAGGAGTCACACAGAAAATCTTCTCCACTTCATGGAATATTCGCTCTATTCCACTTCCTAACGAGGCTCTCAGTGAATCGTTCTCGAACTCTCTTCACTTCCCTATCTCCCTGTTGTTGCCAGTCCCCCTAGGTTTGTTCTTTCCTCTGGCTTTCAGATAACTCGGATTACCCGGTTAGAATCAAAGGCCAAAGAATTTCCTCTCTATTATGTTTGATTGAAAAGCCTCCCGGGAAGAGGGAAGGGGTGTGTATCTATACTTATTCAGTCTTCCATTACTGCGCCAAACTATTTGATCCGTGCCGCTTTTATGTACCCAAAACACAGTATCATAAAGTAATTATAGGCCCGGAAATGATTCTCAGCCCAAATGAATGGCCTTTTGGGATGCTACGTTCTGGACTTCGGTTTGTGTGGGGGAGGGTCTCACGAATAACGAAAACAAGTCCTATCGAAAACTGGTGAGCTCAGCGGCCGGAGGAGAAGAGGGGGGCGGGTGGGTGTCACAGGTCCGAAGTTCAAGGGACGCCGAAACTAGATTTGACTCAGTTATGAGCATGTGCTCTGACCCGGCTGCGGCGGCGCTGGCAGACCCCTCGGGAGGAATCGTGGTCCACCGAGATGGCCACTGGCCTCTGACTCATCCAGAGATAGGTCATCACCCAGGCCACAAGTCCCAAGCCGGCAGCTCCTGGATTTAGTGTGCACGGAAAATTTGGAGTTTCAGCTGCACGACCACTAGCAGTCAGAGACGGGTCTGAATATTCCTCGGGGCTCGGCCGGAAAGTGGGGATGGCGATGGAAAGGCCACCCTCCCCGGCTCTGGCCTCGCCTCCGAGAGTTAAAGGTGGCGGTTCCATCCCGACGCGGGAATGAGCTGCCGCGGTCCGGGGCAGGACCCGCGCAGCTCCAGAGCATGCAGCCCAGGGTCCCCGCCGCCCGGTCCCCCGCGCCCGCGCCTCTCACCTGCGGCCGAGTGGCCCGAGAGCGCACGGCCCCGGGCGCGGCGTTGGCCACCAAGCTCGCGGCGCTCGCGCAGCTCTTCCTCCTCGTCCTCCCGCCGCCGGCCTTCAGCCATGGACGAGGCGCGGGGCGCAGCCGCTGGATAGCCGGCGAGCTGCGGCCCCGGCGCCCCAGAACTCCTCGGGCCCCGGCGCCCCGGGCAACCACCTTCGGGCCGGGGGGAAGGCGGCTCCCGCAGAGGAGGCGGCGGCGGCGGCTGCGGAAATGGCCACCTCCGCGAACTCCACCTGCAGCCGGCGGGGCAGCGGCCGGGCGCTGGCCGAGCCGATTCCCCGCCTCTTTGTGGCGGCCCGGCGGCCTCTAAATCCCTGGCCTTTCCCACTCCACTCGGCTCTCTTCCCCCTTCCTCTTTCCCTTCCCCTCCCCTCGGAGCTCCACCGCGGATCGGGCGGGTTCAGGCCCTGCCTCGCCTCCTCGGGGAGGGGTTACCGGCCCCTAAGGCCGCCCCACAGCCACACACACTGGAAACACCCGCTGGACCCAAACAAATGTGTACAAGATAAATAAACGGGTTAGGAAGAGGACAAAGAGGAGGTGGCCTGGCCTCTTCCTGCCCTTTCACGATATTCCAGTGTCAACAGGAAACCCATTTGTTTGACACTTAAACAAAAAGACGAGGAACCTGACCCGGGCCGCACTGGGAGAGATGGGACAGCCGGGAGCTGCTGAACTTCGGGACAAACTCGGCTCGGGAGTTGGGTCAAGCCTCTGCGATGCACACTTTTTTCTTTCCCTCTCTTTTCGCCCTTAAAAATCTAGCCTTGCTGGAGCACAGAGGATTTTTAGGGCAGTGAAACTACTATGTGTATGATACTGTAATGGTGGATGCATTTGTCGAAGCCCACAGAGTGTACAAAACCAAGAGTGAACGCCAGTGTAAACTTACAGACTTTGGATAATTACGAGGTGTCAGTGTGGGCTCATCAGTTGTAACAACTGTGGCACTCTGGTGGGGGATATTGATAATAGGGGAGGCTATGCATGTGTGGGAGCAGCGGGTACATCGGAAATCTCTGTACTTTCAGCTCAATTTTGCTTTGAACCTAAAACTGCTCTTAAAAATAGTTTACTCAAAATTTTTAATAATAAATCAAGCCTCACTGTATTCAAATTCATTTGGGGCTAGGATATGGCTACAGTTCCTAGAACAGGAAGAAAATGTGTTAAGGAGACCCATACGTAATTATTTGTATAGAGGCAATTAGGGGAAGTGGCGAGAGCACTGGGTCTGGAGTCAGAAACTGTAATTTAAAGCACTTAGCTGTGTGAGCTGCCCCTAAGAAAGTTTTTGAAAGCGGGAAAGAACTGCATAACAAAAGTTGTGTGTACCTGTACAATATACATCTTAGGTTCAATAGGTGCACGTACATACTTTCACACAGAGAGGAACAGATTCTGAAATTTCACCAAAAGATAACTAAGTAGCAGGCAGAAATATTACCTGGACATGAAACCTTAGGAAACTCCTGAGTGGGATGAGCAGGACTTTATCTTTAGCGTTTTGCTCTATTTCTGAGAGATTGTCAGAGTTCCTAATATTCAGCAGGTAGGAGAGAAAAAGAATGGGAGAAAAGGGTCACTGAAAATAGAATTGCCTGCCACACCTGAGTGCTGTTTCGTTGCCTTTTCAATAGTAGCTGTGGCCGCCTGAGAAAATCTTTCCACTTTTAAGCAGATAAGAACCACAATCGATTCTGTGAAATTGAGGTCAAATCCACAAGTTAAAACTTTATTACTGAATAAGTGATTAAATAAGTAGACACTAGAGAACTGGAAATTAAGCTCACAACAACAAAACAAAGGTTTTGGACCTTTAGGGTTGTTTCAAGTGTTTGGATTCGCTTTAAGTGAAAGTTTATTTTTCACTTCCCTTCAAGGATGAATAATTTAGAAACCCCTACCTTGACCAACAAACAGTACAACTTCATTGAGCCATTGGAGTCAGTCTCTACTATCAAGTCTTAATTTTTTTTTTTTTTTCAAATGAAGTCTCAGTCTATTACCCAGGCTGTAGTGCAGTGGCATGATCTCAGCTCACTGCAACCTCTGCCTCCCAACAGGAAACCCATTTATACTAAAAAAAAAACCAAAAAAACAAAAACCAAAAATTAGCCGGGCTTGTGGTGTGCGCCTGTAATCTCAGCTACCCAGGAGACTGAGGCAGCAGAATCGCTGCAATCGAGGCAGAGGCTGCAGTGAGCCCAGATTGCGCCACTGCACTCCTAGTTTGAAGGGATTCTCCTGCCTCAGCCTCTTGAGTAGCTGGGATTACAGGCAGGCACCACTATGCCCGGCTAATTTTTGTATTTTTAGTGGCAATGGGGTTTTACCATGTTGGCCAGGCTGATCTTGAACTCTTAACCTTAAGTGATCCACCTACCTTGGCCTCGCAAAGTGCTAGGATTACACGTGTGAGCCACCACACCTGGCTTAATTGGATTTTTAAACAAGTATTGTTGAGTTGTTTTTTTGTATGTTCTGAATATAAACTCCTTATTAGACATATGATTTGAAAGTATTTTCTCCCCTTCTGTCTTTTCACTTTATTAATCTTGTCCTTTGAAGCACAAAAATTTTAAATTTTCCAAAGTTCAATTTATTTTTTCTTCTGATATTTATGTATTTTAGTATCATATCTAAAAAATTATTTTTTACATCATGGTCACAGAGATTTAATCCTATGTTTTCTTTGAAGAGTTTTATAGTTCTAGTTCTTACATTTAGGTCTATGATCCAAAATTTTTGCATATGGAGTGAGATAGGGGGTTCCATTCACATGCATGTGGATATCCAGTTGTATAGACAATTCCTTCCCTGTTTAATTATCTTGGCACCCTGTCCAAAGTTATATCTTTATTGAAGAACTTACCAAGTTTTGTCTCGTTTTGTGGTAAATTGGATAGATCTTTCTCTCTCATTGGAGGACAGGGAATATGTTTTGTTTTTTTGCAATGAGAAGATGTGAAAAGCACATAACATAGGCTCTGATCATGGATATTTCTTTCCATCTTTTGAGTCTCCCTACAGCACCTAGCATGGTACTTGGCACACAACAGTTATCATAAATGTTCTTTAATTGTAGAGTGGGCTTGGGCATGCACCACCCACCCACCCATCACAAAATGTGGATTCCCAAAGCTCTGATTGGCTGGGAAATCCAGAACAACTTTCAGGTGTTTCCAAATGAAGGCTCAATGGTCAGGCAAGGTGGCTCACACCTGTAATCCCAGAACTTTGGGAAGCTGGGGGTGGAGCGGATCACGAGGTCGGAGTTCAAGACAGCCTGGCTAACCGTGGCCAACATAATAAAACCCCATCTCTACTGAAAATACAAAAATAAGCTGGGCACGGTGGCAGGCACCTATAATCCCAGCTACTTGGGAGGCTGGGGCAGGAGAATCGCTTGAACCTGCGAGGCAGAGGTTGCAGTGAGCTGAGATCATGCCACTGCACTCCAGCCTGGGTGACAGAGTGAGACTGTCTAAAAAACAAAAAAAAAAAAACCAACATCAGAAAACCCAATTAGGGTTCTTCAAAGAAGATATAAACAAATGGTGAATAGGAACATGAAAAGATGTTGATATAGTCTGGGATACAGTGATAGGAGCTGATCCCAATTAAATGATGTGGAGCCACCTGCTCTAGTGATCATAAATGAGTTCTAATGAGATCTAATTGTTGGAAAGAGACTGACACCTCCTCCTCTCTGTATTTCTCCCTCTCTCACCATGTGACACACTGACACCTCTACCCCTCACCATAATTAAAAACTTCCTGAGAGTCTCAGCAAAAACAGATGCTGGTGCCATGCTTCTTGTACCACCTACAAAACTATGAGCTGAGTAAACCTTTTTTCATTGTGAATTACCCAGTCTGAAGTATTCCTCTTTAACAACACAAAACACACTAAGACAGATGAACAATTTCATTAGTCATAAGAGCAGTGTTAATTAAAACCACAAAGAGGTACCACGTCACACCTACTAGGATGGCTAAAATAAAAAAGATAGTCTGGCCAGCACAGTGGCTCACACCTGTAATCCTAGCACTTTGGGAGGCTGAGGCAGGTGGATCATCTAAGGTCAGGAGTTCAAGACCAGCCTGGACAGCATGGTGAACCCCATCTCTACTAAAAATGCAAAAATTAGCTGGGCGTGTTGCGTGCACCTGTAATCTCAGCTACCTGGAGACTGAGGCAAAAGAATCACTGGAACCTGGGAGGCTGCAGGGAGCTAAGATTGTGCCACTGCACTCCAGCCTGGGCGACAGAGTAAGACTCCATCTCAACAGCAGAAGATAAAAAAAAAAGATAGTTGATAAGAGTTGATGAGGTTATGGAGAAATTACAACTCTCACACTTGGCTTGGGGAAAATGTAAAATGATACAGCCAGTTTGGAAAACAGTTTGGCAGTTCCTCACAAAGTTAAACATAGAGTTACCATATAATGCAGCAATTCCTCTCCTATTATGTACTCAAGAGGAATAAAAACATCTCCACACAAAAACTTGTACATGAATGCTCATAGTGGCATTATTTATAACCAAAAAATTGATACAACCAGATATCCTGTTCATCAACTGGTGCATGAATAAACAAAATGTAGCATATCCATGCAATGAAGTATTATTCAGCCATCAAAATGAAGTACTGATATGCACCATAATATGGATGAACCTTGAAAAAAATTATGCCAAGTTAAAGAAGCCAGAGACAAAAGATTCCTATGATCTTATTTATGTGAAATGTCCAGAATAGGCTGATCCATAGAGACAAAATGGAGGTTAGTGGCTGCCAGGGGAGGGGAGAATGGAGAGTGATGGGCAATGGGTATAAGGTTTCTTTTTGAGTTGATCAGAATATTCTAAAATCAGAAGTGGTGGTGGTTGCACAATTTTGTAAACATATTAAGGGATAAATTTTATGGTACATGAATTATATCTTAATAATTTTTTAAGTCATAACTAGCTCACTGCAAAAGCACAGAAAACAAACCAGGGAGAGGACTGCACTCTGAAGTCATCATACTGAAGAAGAGAAACCAGACAGAAGTTACAAGCAAGAACAAGGTAATCATATAAAAGCAAACCAAAGGTGTGGCCAAGTAGCAACTAAACATGCTCAAACATCCTACCCACCCAAGTGACACAACAAGAGCCAAACCCATGGAAGGAAAGTGATAAGAAACTTGGAATGGAAATTTACACCCTACGAGTAAAACAGGATTCACTCTCAAAGCCTGAAGGTATAAGAATTTTTTTGTAAGAGATATTATAAAGGACAATGTTCTTGGTTTCTCACTTTAGATACATAGTTTTGCCTGAAGCAAAATGGTCTGCAAACAGAACACTACAAAAAACAAAAATATACTATATAAAGATACACGTGGTGCAGTCTTTAGCAAACAGAAGCACAATAAATACTTGTTTAATGACTGAATGAATATAATTCCAATTTTTTCTTGCTGAA